TATACATCCTTTACTTGCAGGTACAGCCTCACATGCAGCTCTGTTGGCCAGAATAAACGCTCTGGAACGACAGCTGACTATTGCGAAGGCTAAGGCGAGGGTGAAAGAGCGGGAGCACAAGAAACTTATGCTTCACCTGTCTTCGTACATAAATGAGGACCAGTTCACCAGCTTGCATCGTTCACCAAGAGGCACAGTGTGGTCCAAGGAAACATTGACCAAAGCACTAAAGATTCGCCTATCCTGCGGCTCGAGGGGCTATGATATGGTCAAGGAGCTCAGCCAGCCATTGCCTTCACAGCGTACACTTCAACGTCACATCGAGCACTGCAAGTTTCGTCCAGGGCTGCTGGTGGACATTATGGACTCTCTCGCTGTTAAGGTAATCGTAACGAATTTGTCCATTTTGCAGCACTATGGAAGTTCAGATATTTTAAATTTTTGTTTGTATTTTCTGTACTTATGCTGGCATGCCTCATAATACAATCACGGTGTTCCCGAAAAATGGTTAGCACTTCATGGTTGCCTGAATGGAAGTTGGATAGCATAGAGTTCTCATTTTAGCTGCAACTTATCTAATAACAACCTAGGCCTTGCAGGACACTACAATACAATCTAAGCCATCAAACATCCATTTGATAGTTGCCTGATCATGACAGGATGCAAGAGAGTTTTGTGACAGGAAGCTTATAGTTTATAGTGTAAGGTAGCGCGAGATATTGGCCAGATAAAGTGTGTTGTTATATAAAATAACGAAAGAGTTCATTGCACGTTCTGGTTGTGACAAGCGTACCGAATCGGTGCGCTGCGCCAAAACCACGAATAATCACTGATTGACTGAACATGCATATTCCTGACGACGCTTTTGCGCATTGCAAGCTCTCAGTGGTATCTTTCGACGGCTCATGTGTTTGTGTCATGATAAGCAGTTATTTCATTACATTGGTCGACCTCATTCAAATGGATGCTTGGTTGGGCAGTGCTTCTATGGAGGTGACCTTAATGTTAACGGAATGATTACCTTTGACTGTGGGGCTGTTTACGTTATGGCACCTTATTGCAGCCTACTTGTGCGACGTAATGTACTTAAACACTAACACTTCTTTTATTTCCTGCCCAACCTTTCATGTTAGTTATTCGTATCTTCCAATCATGCGCAGGTCAACTGCATGACAGAGTACGAGCGCCATGCGTGCCTCATGATGGATGAGATGCAGATCACCCCAAGCCTCATATATGATCCTTCGGCTGACGCAGTACTGGCAGACCTACGATTCCCTTGGCAGATGGCAGCCTCCCTGCAGACACCTTGGCTACACATGGCCTCGTATTTATGCTGGGTGGTGTTACTACCAGGTGGAAGCAGGTCATTGGGTACCATTTGACTGGAAATTGTTTTCATGCACTCTCTGTCAAGCAAGAACTCTTGAAAATGATAAGAGCATGTGAAGACATTGGCCTTAAAATAGATGTTGTTGTTTCAGATATCGGTGGTGGCAATCAGGCTCTATGGAGGTTATTTCTTGTCAGAGTCGGCAAGCACAGTCGGCCAAATTGCAGTGCTACACACCCCTGCGATTCGAATCGGAAGCTATGGTTTATAGCAGATGCCCCTCACCTGTTGAAAAATCTGCGCAATCACCTCACCAGGGGCCAAACTTTGTATCTTCCTGATGACATTGTTGTAAAAGCTGGTCTCTCCACAAATGCGGTTCTCATTGAACCAATAAAAAAACTCATTGAAATTGACAGCAAAGGAGACTTCAAATTGGCTCCGCACCTAAAACAAACTTGTGTTGACCCTGGTCATTACGAAAAAATGAAGGTGGGCCCTGCTTACAGTCTTTTCAATGTGGATACTGGGGCTGCACTGCGCATCCTTGTTGAGAAGGGCATGCTAGAGAAGTCCGCACTTGCCACTGCTTGGTTTATTGAAACTGTGTTCAAGTGGTTCCCCATCATGACATCACGAACAACCAAACTTGCCTTGAGTAAAGTTATTGAGACAGAGAGGCAGGCAAGTATTGACTTTCTCAAGAATTTTGTTGTACTTTTTGAAGAGTTCTCTATCGGCACCGTCAAAAATGCCCCGTGGAAGCCTGTGCAGACAGGGGCTATTCTCAGTATGCTCTCTGTACTTGAGCTGCAGGAGTATTTCCTATCGTTTTGCAAATTCCGCTTTCTGTTCCTTAGCAGATTTTGTCAAGATGCGCTGGAAAATTTCTTCTCTACTCTTAGAGCTAAGTATCCGATTCCCAGGTTATATGAATTTAAGTGCGCGTTGCGTTCCGCAACGCTAGCACAGTTTCTACACGCTAGTCCTGATGGCAGCTACACAAGGACGGTGGCTTTTTACTTGCTGGTTTGAGCTCAGACAATGAAGACAGCACCACACAAACAGATTTAATTCCTGCTGACATTCATGACATGAATATGTTGGAGCACGAGTCATTTTTGTACTTCGCAGGGTATGTTGTTCACAGTGCTAAGAAGTTAGTAAAAAACTGTGATGCTTGTGTAAGTGCCATGACAGGGAACAAAGACGTTCCGCGACTCACATAGCTGAAATCGTACAAAGAAAAGTTAGCGTTGTGTGTAGCTTCTGAAGCAGTTGTAGAAGTTCTAAAGGTAGCGGAGTCTCACTTTCAAAAAAATAAAGAGCAGCATATCCATAATCATGTTCCTGTATCAGCCATCAAAATGGCTGTTAAAAGTGCGATATCGTGTAATACCTTGTTTCCACACTGTCATAATGTATTGGAGGCTATTCTTTCCGTGTTCTTCTCCGCAAGGATGCACATACAAGTAAGGAAAGAGACATTGGCTATAAGCGTGCAAATCGACAATAAATGTGGAAGTAAAAGTGTAGGAATGAGAGCTGCAGTGGTCAACCTTCCTTTAAAAATAGCAGTGTAAAAAGCGCCCTTGCAGCCAATGTGGCGTGCGTGCCAGGAGAGCTCCTTGGAGAACGCATTTTTATTCTATCTAGCTGCCTGCGCACCATCAATAGCCTTGTCAAAATCTTCCCATCTTGCACGTCGTGCGTGCTTGAGAAACTGAAGTACCAAGAGCCATACTGTCCGAGTTCCTTAATGATGCCATTGTCAACTTGTTGACAACATCCTGACTAGATTTACATTCCTTAAAAAATTTTGTGCTGCCTAGGTTCACAGCACTATCCCACGTGTACCATGCCATTCAAGTAAGCTCAAGTATAAGGACCAAAGCACAACCTGTTTTGGTATGTGATTGCTGTATTTTTCATCGTTTTGGAACATGCTTCCGGCACGGGACAACTCTTAAGGTATCCTTCCGTAGTTTACAATGTAACATGACAGCAAGTCACATAGATGAGCGCGATAGAAATAACCTGTACCTTTCCATCTTCTGCCATGGATGCAGTCATGTACAATGCGAAAATTTTTCGTGCAATGTTTTCATGTACTCATTGCATCCTCTTCAAAACACACATATACACACAATGCCCAATTTACCTTCCTATAAGCTCGCACGACAAATGAACGTGAGGCACCTTAGGAACATTTCTTTACACACGGTAATGTTTCATTTCATTTGCACCATGAAGGCATTACCATCACTTGTGCAAATCGTAAGTGCAAAGTGTCCATTGAATACTTGTTCGAACAGTCTAGTTACTCCTCCAAGCAATGATGAACATGCCTGTCTCTTATCTGTTATGTAACGTACGACCAAGGTTTTGCGGTAATGTGTGTATATATAAACTGTACTGCTACGTTTATGCCACAGGGCACTTGTATAGCTAGTGGAAACGGTAGCTAACTGTTACAATGCAACTTCCCGTCACTTTGGAAATATCAGTTTTTTTCCAAACGTTACTTCACCATACTGTCCTCTAGGCATACGCACAACGTGGCAACAACTTATCTGCAGTTTACATACACCGTTGAAGTGTTCCTGCCATGCAGACATTCGTGTATAAGTTTGTGGAAATTGTTACTCCAGTGTTTTACTAGACATCTCAAATCACACAGGTCATTTTTGCAAGCATTATTGAATGCGCCTTTCACTAGTACGTCATGTGACATCACAAACTGTATTGTAACACGTCTGTGGATGTAGTGTGCATTGTTTAACTTTCATGATCCCATGCTGACATTTGTATAGAAGTCTGCGGAAATGGATAGTGCAATGCTCTACTGTGTCATCACCTGTATATTTGAAAACACATATTATTGATCCGAAAGTTACTCAGTGAATCTCGCTGTTATACACCTCATGTATATGACAACAAGCTGCAGTGGAAATCGGTTTGCATGTTCACCTTTGTTCAAGCCATTAAGGCATTCGTGTCTGTGCAAATTGTCAGTACAGTGTGTTGCTAGGCCATTCATTGTATGTTTCAAAGTACGCATGTTCACGTTGAAAAAATGTAACGGTGAGTCTTCCTCTGGTACCTGTTGTTCAGGCAATGGTCAAGCAATGTTCTGCATTGAATGTCACATGCTGCAATTTTCTTCATAGTTTTATTGTTTACTGACAAATGAAATGTCTTGGTGTGGTTTGCGTGCCTTTGCAACAGCCCAGGACATGCTTGTTTATTCATAGATGCCTGCTATGACAATGTTGCCAGAGATTGTAACGAAGTAACAAGAATAAATATTTGTAGTCAACATTGTGCCTCATTGTTCCTTTAACATTCCAGTGTCCTGATTTACATAGGATGTTGAAATAGTGCAGTTGTACGTAGCTCAGTGCATCTATTGATGCATCAGCGCCCTTTTTTGTCCTTTGCAGAACGAACGCCCCTTCCAGCGTTCTTGTGTTGACGCTGCTTGCGTCCCCTCAATTGAGCGTGCACTTCCACGTTTAATAATTTCATAACCGCTCATTCTATATTTGTGTATGTGTATCAGTTATCATCCCTACCAGTTACATGTGTCGCCTAAGGTTCCTATTTAAGCAACTTTGTTTTATCTGGGCGCCTTAGCCGTACCCATCTGCAGTTTTTTTTTTCACAATTTCCACCAGAATAGCAGCATTCGACACTTCGTCTGTCATCTCTAGCTGTCTGTTAACGTTACAGTAACATTTTTACTTTATTGTTCTTCTGGGGTTGCTCAACTACTTGTCAAGCTTTTGCTTTGCTTTGAAATTAGCCCCACATGTTACCACAGCTACATTGTACTTTGAATATCACGGGAAACAGCTGAACACTGCACAGCTGCTTAAAGTATTAACCAAAAAAGTGGACATATACCTTTGTGGAAAAACATGTTACCACAGCTACATTGTACTTTGAATATCACGGGAAACAGCTGAACACTGCACAGCTGCTTAAAGTATTAACCAAAAAAGTGGACATATACCTTTGTGGAAAAAGGTTTAGCTATGGGGCTGTCTCTAAGATTATATTCACTAAATGGTAATAAGTGCTCAAGAAATTACACTGGAATTCTAAATATTATTGTTCCACTGCGGGCAGGGCAGCAAGATCTAAGGTCCCTAGTTAAAACAAGGAACCTTGGCAAGATCCTTCCATCGCTTTCTAAGGGGTGGCATAGGGTGGGGGTGCATGCTGGAGGTGAGGTGAGGGCGAAGTGCTGGTCGGTGCTTCTGACTGAAATTACAGCCCGTACTGGCTCGGGTGCACTCTGTAAAGTATTCGGGTGTGCGGGAATGTAGCCACTCCAGCCAATCTGTCGAACGAGTTAACAATGACGGTTACAAACGACACAATCCCGTGCACAACAGAGAAGCGCTAGTGGTGTGCCAGCATTTGGTTAACATGCGGGAAGGCCAGTGCTACAGCGAGTTTGCTGGAAAAGCCGCGCTCACTATCACGCTTTTCTCATGCCCATCGTTCAGTATTCCAGCACATTTCTGCTACTTGCCGCTGATGGTGGGGCGACGACATCGTCGCAAAGTTCATCACTTCGGGACAGTGAATGCGGCGATGAGTCACAAAGGGTACAACGTGCGTGTCTGTTGTCACTCACAAACATCTCTGTACGCGCACGCTGTAGTGCCGGGACACCCCACTCGTAGAACTCTAACTTGTCGTTAAGTTGCGTGCACCCGCATTGCGGTGCCGCAGTCTCTTTCATAGTCACCCAGATAATATAACATGCACCACGATTACCTGGCATCCTGATTGCGAAAGTCGAAGTATTTTTTCAGAAAAAGCTGTAATCGCAGTGCTGCTAGTCAAGCGTTCGTTCCAGACTGGCCGCGGTTTTTCCCTGTGTGCTCACAAGCGGCTATGATCACTCGTCACAACGTCACAACAAAGTGCTGCCCTGTGGTAAGTCAGGGGCACAGGATCCAGCAAAAAGAACGTTAACTGTGCCACATCACATGCACGAGCAAAACACATTCGGAGAACTGGACGAACTACGACGTACGATGCGAGACGCCATGGCTAATGGTGTGAAATATAGAACTTGCACAACGTTGCCAGTTGGGTAACACACATCACGCTTCTTATGTTGTACCGCTTATTTTCAACTAAGTAACCTTTTATCCTAGGTCTCATTTACTTCTCATTTGGTATAATTGTTTCTATCCGCCGTAGTAACTGAACACAAACGTTCGTTTTTTATGCACGCTTTGACCCTTCTTGGGGGCGCTTCAGACAAATAAGCGAGGAGGAAAAGGGACGGTGTCGCTACCTTTGTTTCATCTAGGGACCTTAATTGTTCATAGACTGTCGCGCCACCTAGCGGAATTCAGAAGCGTCCTCTCAAGGATGAACAGTAGGCAGATGCTCCCAACGCTCCCTTGTTCAGCGCTGCTAACCTCAGTGTTAACGCGTTAGCAGAAAACAAACGCAAACCACATTGTATGTTTTGTGCATCGGTGAATATATTGGACCACCCGTGACACGATAAGTCTTATTCGTTCTTGTGAGAGGCGAAGTTTTTGTGAAAATACATGGCAACTCGCGCTTTCATTTATAGCCCGCAAAGTACACATATCAGCTTTTCAAGATTTTCTGCTGCCCCGTTGGATAGTTAAATGTTATTGTTTAACCTTTGCAGCTGAAACTCACCTCGTTTTACGTGCGTATAGCATTCGTCAGGGCTTTTGTAGTGCATGAATCCCATAGCATTCATTGCAAGCGGAAATTAGCGCAAGCTCACGATTAATTTGCACTTTCAAACCTTGGCCTAGTGAGCTCAGGTTTGGGTGCATGTTAAAGAACCCCTGGTGATCAAAATTTCCGGAGCCCTCCACTACGGCGTCTCTCATAATTATACGATAGTTTTGGGACGTTAAACCTCACATATCAATCAGTCAACCAATCAACCAAACCTCGGCTTACGCTTCGCCACCTGTTTTTTTACATTCGTTTATAGATGGCAGCACACTGCAAGCGATTCCTTCCTTCTTGCCTGGTATCGGAGTGAAATGTTCTCCGTACCCCCAGGTAAACGTGGTGAGCGACGCCTTGTTGGGGTTGTGTAATGACGCGTTGTTGGTGCTATCGAAGTTATTCAGTGCAGAGGATTCCTCAGATTGCTTTCAGCAGTGATGTTCAAAGAAACCGTCTTGACGTCGAGAATGTTTCACTGGACGTATTTGGTTGTCAACGCGCTGAGAGTGATAGCGACGATGAACGATCAGCTGCTAGCTCACGAGCAAAGAGTTGCACTTCCCGTCCCGTCGTGCGTTATTGTTTTTTTCTCACCCTGTTAAATCACTTTGATTGTATTTATTGTATAATATCCTTAAGCGAATTAAACAAACACTGTTTTTGTACATTGCAAGTAGCCCAATTACGTGAATATTACAAAACGCCGCACGGCGCCAATACACTTGAGCTCGACCAGTGAAGCGAATTGATTAGAGCAATGAAATATGCAGTTACGACTACAGTCCACGCTAATTAACTTTACTTGAACTTCACCGGTGCTGTCCGCACGACGTTGTTGTTCGACAAATTTTCACAATTTTGACGTTGCGAAAAGCGTATGCGTGTATTTGTTTCCATATATTAGTTTCGATTGCGCTGATAGAACCTATAACATCCGAGTGCAGCAAATTTCACACTCTTGGAGTCTGATCATGGTTGTGACACAAGTGCTACTTAACGAGAAGGTAAATGCTTCGGTTCCGTTGAAGAAGCAGCTGCATGATCCTTACAGCGCAAGTAATGACGACGGCGTAATATGTTTGCAAACCATCGCTACGGTAAACATTTGGTCCTGTGCAGCCGTAACGGCGCGCTACTCGCTAGTGGCCTACTACAATAGCAAATTCGCCAGGCAGGCTCGGCACAAATTATCCCGGAGTGCTGTTCAGTTCACACGTGAAATCTAGTTCGCGCAGTTTTCTGTAGCACGCACAGGTTTACGCAAAGCATCGTTCATACATGGACGACCGGCTGACACTACCACCATTCGCACTGCGCAGCAAGACATGAGGTAGTTAACATTCAGCAGTTCCTATAGTTTGGGAAAGTACTTTTGTCCGATATATATTCATGTGACGATCAAGAGTTCAACTGGTGAACGCGGCACGGGGAGCACTTCCGTGTGTCCTATCTTTCCCTATGCGAGTTCATGGGTTGATCATCCCTCCGCAACCATATTGGATTGCATGGCGCGCGACCATTAGGCCATGGTCATTGCCAATATATAGCCTCGACACTACAATTTGGGAAACAGGCGAAGGGGGTGCGCCAATTTGCGGAGCCCAGAAAGAACTACAAAGGCACCTACGGAGCTGTTTTTTAGGGGCGAAGCTCCTTAGGGCGTGGGCTGTGCGTCCCCTGTAGCCTGTATGTAACCACCTCTAGTTTAGTTCTTGCAGTGTTCACTAGATGGCGGTACCGTCCCCTGTATGTAGCCCTGTATGTAGAAAAAACGGGAGTTCCTCAAGCTGAGTGGTAGAGGTCGGACGTGTTTTTGGAGAGCTCCGGAATGACAGCTACAGATAAGTGTTTTTGCATGTTTCCAGCTTGCCTCTATATGTAGCGTTATGAGAACGTAAGGCGCTAGCGTAAGGCTTGATTAGGTCTAGTACGGTGTACGGTTTTTTTTTATTAGTATTTTGTACTGTGCCTTTTTTTCTCCAGCCACCACGTGGCTGAAGCCTGCGCGTAGACCGACCACGTGCATGCGCAGGTGCTGTGAAGTGTAGCGTATTTATTTATTATTGTGGTTCTTTTTTGCTTAGACCAGTGTATTTTAGTACAGTTTTCTAACACGTGGGCATCGGTAAACTGAGCTAGCCATGGTCAAAAAGACCGTAAAGTGTTCCGAGTGCGGGGTAGGGCGGAAGGTGGAAATTAGTGCGGAGGAGAAAGCAGAAGATGACGCCAAGTGTAAACAGTGCGAGTTCGAGGAGAAAATGAAAAATATGATGGCGGTCCAGAGTGGGCTCATGGAGAAAATCGCAGCGCTGGAGAATGCATTGGCGAAGGAGCGAGAGAAAACGTCAGCCATGGAAGAAAGGCTCCGGGCAGCCGAGAAGGGCCTATCGAAGGTCGTGAAAGGGAACGAAGACGCAGGTGACGGCGGAAGCATTATGGCGACGACCCCCCGTGCGGGAGAGATGAAGGAAACAGGCATGACAAAGGCAGATACATTGGCCACAGGGCCCAGCTACCGGGAAGTAGTTTTGAGGGAGGGAGGGAGCAAACCAGCAGCCGTGACTCACGCTAGTCACCTAGTCAGCAGCCAGGTGCAGGTTTCAGAAGGAATGTCTGAACAGGTCATCATCGCCGGTGACTCAAATTTGGTCCGATGCGCAGCGGCAATCAAAGAAAGGGTGAAAGGCGACAAGAGAGTTGCGATAGGGACGTTCCCAGGACAAACGCTGGGGACAGTAATGAGTCAAGCGGGTGAACAACTCGCAGCTAAGGCTGGCAATCGTAACCTCGTTGTAATTGCGGGAGGGTTAAATGACGTCCCTGAAAAAAGAATCGTCAGGACTAGCGACGGCCTTGGCGAGAGGGGTGGATGACATGCGCACCGTGTCCCCTCAGGTGCAAATTGTAGTATGCACAGTACCGGAAGTACCGGTGCGCAACGTCAACCTGCGAAGAGCGGTTGTCGACGCAAACAAGGAGATATGGCGGATTAGTCGAGAGAAGGGTTTCGAGGTAGTGGATTTAAACAGGGAAGTGCACAGGTGGGGTGGATTCCAAAGAGACAGGATTCATTTCGATAAGAGGCTTGGACACGAGGTGGGCTGGCGACTGGCAGGACGCGCAGTAGCTTTTTTGGGGGGCTCACGGGCCCTTCGGAGTCCGGGGTAGCTCGTAACAGGGAAAGCAACCAGGAGGACGCTTTGACAGGTAGAATTGCGAAAAACCAGAAAAAAGGTAAAAGAAAAAGGAAAAAGGCGCGTGTTGCAATTAGTTACATAAACATGCAGGGTGGCAGAAAGAAGGCAAAATGGTTAGAGATTGAGGAGCAGTTAAACAAAGAACAGATAGGCGTGTATGCGGTTACAGAAACACACCTTAGAGACTTGGAAGAGCCACCACATATTAAAAATTATGTTTGGGAAGGGTGTAACAGGACCATATCGGAAAGGAAAGGTGGGGGTGTAGGAATGCTAATTCACCGCGGAGCCAAATGGGTTAGAGTGAAACAGACGTGTTCAGAGCACCTCTGGGTTCGGGGCACAGTAGGTGGAAAGGAAACGTGGCTAGGGGTAGCCTACTTGTGGACGGGGAATA